TTGAAAAAAGAAGGAATTGCGGGATTTTCATTTTTTTCCCAGTTCCTCGGCGCTGTTCGGCGCTGTTGTTCGTTTGTGCCTCGCGGGTTTTGTTAGCCGGGCCCCTCAGGGGTGTGGGATCTTTTGGACCCCCAGGGGGTTCTGGAGGCCTCCTGGAGGCCTGGAGAGCCGTCGGATGTCTCGGGCTGCGCGGAAGCGTGTTGGCCCGTTCTTTACGTTCTGGGGGCTCCTTGGGGTCGTCTTGGGCTGTCCTTGGGCGTATTGGGGGCCCCCCGGGAAGCCAGGAGGCGCGGTACCGGCCTTCTTGGGACCCTCTTGCGCCGTCTTGGGCGGCTCTGGGGCCGTCTCGGGGCTCTCTCGGGCCGTCTTGGGGCTCTCTTGGAGGCCTCTTGGGCCGTCTTGGAGCGGTTTTGGGAGCCTCTTGGGCGGTGTTTTAGCGCCGGAAACACGAAACAGCGAGAATGCAAAACACATCGAAAAAACCCAATCAAAATCAACGACTTTGCCCTCTCGGGGCGCTCTTGGGCGGCAGCTTAACGGCCTCTTGAGGCGTCTTGGGGGCCTCCGGGGCAGTTTAAAACGCATCGTGCGTCGCCAGAGACCCCTGGACGGCGTCTTGGGGGTGTCTCGAGACCGTCTGGGGCCGCTGGGAGCTGCCTGAGGGCTCCCCGGGGCGATCTTAAGCCTTGCAGAGGCGGGCCCGGGCCCCGGGCCCAACATTTGTGGTCGAGGCTCTGGCCCCCGGCACCCAGACCCGGTCCCCTGATAGATGTATATAAAGGGGCCCCAGGACACACAAATAAATCCACACAAATAAAAAGATTCCCCATATTTTCCTATGTTTTCTGGGTTTTTGTCTTCCCCCCCACTTCCCATATTTTCCCATATTTTCTGGGGAATCGCCAATTAATTGTGTCTGTGTGTTTCTTTCCCTCGGCGTGCCTCCCAGGCCAGGCCAAGAGGCCCGATCCCGGACATCCGACGATGAGATGTCTTCAGCGCGCGGCCCCTGGAGGTCCCAACCCCTTCCCTGGGGGGCACTCTCTCAATTCTTGCTGGCCCTGGGGCCCCGAAAAAAAACTGGAGCCGACACCGAGGAACTGAAAAAAGCAGGTCGTCGGAGGTCTGGTCCCCTGATCAGGTCCCCCCTCCCGCTGCCCCTGATCGGGATCGGGCCGGGCCGGTGCCGAAGTGCGTGCGCGTGTGCGTGTGCGCAGCTCTCGGTGCGCCACTGCCCGCCCTGGTGCTCCGCGTGCACCCTGCTGCCCTTCCTCCTAGGAGTCCTCTTCGGTCGCCCCCCCCCCTCGCGAACCATCCCTCGGCTGCCTCCCCAGAAGACTCCCACGCAGCGTGGATCCCTGTGGGTGAACCCGGTAACCCTGCGCGTCCCCGCGGGGCTGCCCGAGTGCCCGGCCGCGTCCGACGCTCTGCGGCGCCCGGGCGCTCCTCGGCCGCGCTGCCCGACCGCGCCGCGCCGCTGCGCGCGTGGCCGCGGCGCCCTCCTCCTCCTCCTCCTCCTCCTCCTCCTCATCCTCCTCCTCCTCCTCCTCCTCCTCCTCCTCCTCCTCCTCCTCCTCCTCCTCCTCCCCCTCCTCCCCCTCGCCTGCTGCTGCTCCTTCCTCCCCTCCTCGCCTAGCCCCTCGCTCCCCTCGCCCTCCTCCCCAATCCCCGTCCTCGTCGCCCTCGCGCTCGCATTCCGCGACTGGCTCCCTACCGCGCAGGTTTCCCGCCCTGGTCCTTGCGCGCCCTGCTGGCGCAGGGTGGCGCCCGACCTCTTTGGTGTCCTGCATGTTTGCATCCTCGCCTGTCGGCGTCTTACGCGTGCACGCCACGCTTCTGCGCCCTCCTTCTGCTGCCCCACTCGGTCCACCCACCTGCTGCGCCAGGCGGACTTCGGCCGAGCGTGCCCCAGCGCAGCACTCGCGAGGGCGCCGCCACCTCGCCGCCGGAGGCAGAAGTGTGCAGCCCTCGTCCCGTGCCCGCCCTCCCCGGCCTCCCGCCGGCCCCGCCTCCCCAGACACCTCGCCGCGCTCCAAAAAATAGTTCCGGCGCGTGGACTCCAGGAGCCCTGGACCATTTCCCTGGGACCCACTGTCCGCAGCCCCGGCCGCCTGGTCAGAGGCCTCCTAGATGGGGTCCGAGCACATGGGCTCGAAGGATCGCGCCGCATCGCTCATGCCTCTCCGATGTGTCGCGATGCATCGGCGACGTCGGCGATGCATCGGCGACGTCGGCGTGGGGCAACACGGCCTCCACGTCGGGCCGCATCGTCAGTGCATCGCCGATGCGGCGCGATCCTTCGACCCCACCTACTCCAACTCCGTCTGGGAGTCCTCCGGTGGCGCGTCTGTCGGTGGGCTGGCCAGGCCCGCCGTGCTCTTGCTCTGCGACCGTGCTGCGAGCCCTGCCCACCACGGGTCGGACCGACGCTGGCGACGACGAGGAGGAGGAGGAGGAGGAGGAGGAGGAGGGGGAGGAGGAGGAGGAGGAGGGGGAGGAGGAGGAGGAGGAGGAGGAGGAGGAGAAGGAGGAGGAGGAGGAGGGGGAGGAAAGGGAAGGAGGGGGACAACCCTCCTCGCTGGGGTTGCTTTGGCTCCAGGCATCCTTCAACGATGCCCATTTAGGAGGTCCAGATTGTTTGGGGACGGCTCTGGGAGCCAGCCCTGGGGCCCGGCGAGGGCCCCCAGAGGCCGAGAACGCCCAAAATCGGAGGCCTGGAAATGGGCACCAATACCAACGCGGGGAGAGGGGGCCTCCACCCAGCTGGGTCGACGCCTGGGGCCCGAGGCTCAGGCGAGAGTTCTCGGTCAGCGGGCGCCAGAGGCGGGCACGGCCCAGGGTGCCCTGAGCTAGGTGGCCACATGCGAACCCTACCCCTACCCCCCACGATTTCTGAGGGGGAGGGTGGGGTTCACTTTGCTCGGGAGCTCCCGAGCGGAGTGCACCCCACCCTCCCCCTCAGAAATCGTGGGGGGTAGGGGTAGGGTTCGCATGTGGCCCCCTATGAGCGTCTCGCGCCACGCTGGACCCCCCCGTGGGGCCCTCGCCACCCTTCATCGCACCGACCTTGCAGACGTGGTGCAGCGGATTTTCGCGTGGAGTTCTGTCCATGCAGAACCCCGAGACGGCGAGCGAAAAACGAAGCGAATTTTGCATGTTTTTTGGGGGGAGTCTTCATTCCCGGCCAGAAAAAATCGGCACGAAAAATTCACCTCGAAATCCGGAACGAAATTCTCAAGGACAATCCGGGTCCATCCCCATCACACTCTGGACGCCCCTTGGGCCCTCGACACCCTGAGGTCCCACGCGGTGCCAGGATCGTGGCGCCGCCGAGAGAAAAAAAGCACGACCAGCTCGGGCGTGGATGACCCTAGCTCAGCGTAAACCGGGCCCAATCGATTTGGGAGACCTGCGCTGCAGTCGGCGGTGGACACAAACCTCCCTTTGGTAAACCACCCCGTAGTGAAAAAACGGCCTGGGACCGGAACCGACGGACCTGGCTGGACCCGCAAAACCGGCGGCCGCGACGCCCTCTCGCGAACCGAAAACGGCCAGTTCGCGAATCGACGTGTCAGGGTACAGCCGGGGCGTTGACCTAAGGAACCCTGAATCAGGAACGAGGCCCCCCATTTCCATGAAGTATTCTTCGGTTTTCCGTCGAAAATATCAGGAAAACCTGAGGCAAGCTGTGAAACAATGAAGGAACACGGAGCCCCTCCCCAATGATAAGGGTTCCTTCTTCAGCGACCCGACGGTAGGAGGTCTGCCCACCCCCGCTGCAGCGTCTGGGGGGGGGAGCTGCCCAGACCCGACCCCGCCTCCGGGGCCGCGGGCGGGTCCTGAAGCCCGGCGCGGCCAGAGCCTGTCTCTGCGTGTGGATGCCACGACAATGGACACCCTAACAGTCCTATCATTAAATTGAAAAAAGGGGTTTGAAATGTCGAAATAAAATGTTCTAAACATGCTTTGAACATGTTTCATTTCACGTGTTTAACACATGTTAAACACATGTTTGGGACATCTGAAAACTATGTGGCAACATGCTTCCTCTCCATTGATCGTCCTCCACAAGTCTCTGCAGGATCCAGCAGAAGCCAAAGGCTCTGGCTGAGCCTCGTTTGCGCTGCGACCGGTCACCAGCCTGGAGGCCTCCCAAGTCGAAGGGGCCCAGGGACATACAAATGAACAGACACGAACCCCAGGATTCCCCATGTTTGTATGTGCTGGACTTTCGTCTTCCCCCCACTTTCCAGATTTCCCCATACTTCCCTGGGGATCGACAATCGATTGTGTCTGTGTGTTCTTCCCCCTCCTGACAAATAGGGTCAGAGTAGATGGATTCGAAGAATCGCAATGCATCGCCGATCCATCACCGATACATTGCCGATGCATCGGCGACGCATCGGCGACGTCGGCGTTGCAAATGGCGACGCCAACGTGGAGAAAATCGAGCTCAAAAATGAGCCGCATCGCCGACTCATCAGCGATGCGGCGCGATCCTCCGACCCCATCTGCTCGGACCGCATCAGGGAGGCCTAAAGCTCAAATAGGGGATCGACTTCAGAACTGATTTACCCGGAATTTGATTTGCCCGTCGGATCTACGAACGTCCACGTAGAATACTCCATAGGTCTACGGAGCATTCGACGTATACTTCAATCTACGGAGCATTCGACGTATACTTCGCATTCGTCTAATTTTGGCAACTCGATTCTGCAATCGATCTCCTGCTCGAAAAGTTGCCTGCCGCCTGAAGTCGGAGATCTTCTGACCCGGGTAAATCCAGACCCGGGCCAGTGAGGCCTTGCAGAACCCTGCAGAGCCTGCAAGATCCTGCACCTGAACCCGGGCCAGCGCGAAAGATCCTGCAACGTCCCGCAGGATCCTGCACCCAAGCCCGGGTCGATGCGACCCTGTCCCTGCAGGGTCCTGCAGGATCCGGCGCTCTGGCCGACCCCCGTTTGCGCGGCCCGCCGACGGGCCCGTGGCGGGCCGGACGCCTGGCTCCCCCAGGCGGCGCCCGACGGTCATCTGGGCGCGGGCGGAGAAGAGGGGGGGGGCGTGCGCGCGCGACCGGCCGCGGCCCCGCGCAGCTGGGGGGAATGGGGAGAGGGGGGGGAACGGGGAGAGGGGAGAGGAGGGTGGGAATGGGGAGAGGGATGGAAGGTGAGAGGCAGGGGAGCGAGGGACGCAGAGGGGCGGGAATGGGAATCGGCGGCACGCAGAGTGGGTATGGTGGGGGGGGGGAAGGCTTCTCGGGGGGAGGCTGCCTTCTGAGCGAGCGCGCGCCTCGTCTATAGCCGCGGGGCCCGCGCCTTCCAAGAGGCAGCCTCCTTCTGAGAAGCCCTCCCCCCTACCCCCTGTCCACTTGTGCGCGCCGCTAACAGCTTGCCCAGATAAGAGGCCTGGAGTAGATGGGGTCGAAGGATCGCGCCGCATCGCCGATACATCGGCGATGTATCGGCGATGCATCGGCGATGCACCGGCGATGCAGCGTCGACGGCGGCGATGTATCAGCGACGTCGGCGTGGGGAAACACGGTCTCCACATCGAGCCGCACCGGCGATGCATCATCGATGCGGCGCGATCCTCCGACCCCATCTACTCCGACCCCATCTAGACGAAGCTGGGACTGAGACAACTGAAGGGGCCCCAGGACACACAAATAAATACACACAAATGAAAAGATTCCCCACATTCTCCCGTATTTTCTGAGTTTTTGTCTGCCCCCCCCACTTCCCATATTTTCCCATATTTTCTGGGGAATCGAAGATTAATTGTGTCTGTGTGTTTCTGTTCCTCCTGGACAACATCGGATCGGGACAAGCCGGGGATCTCTGAGATCCGGCGGTTCGGGAGCGTGCGTCGGGCGCCGCGGCTGTTCCAGGGCGCCACAATACGCTCCGAGAGCGTTCTGGGGGGCTCCAGAGAGGCTTACGCCCGTCATGGGCCCGCGCGACATACCCCCGACCTCGTCTCCCAGAGGAACAGGAGGAGGAGGAGGAGGAGGAGGAGGAGGAGGAGGTGGAGGAGAAGGAGGAGGAGGACGAGGAGGAGGAGGACGAGGAGGAGCAAGAGGAGGAGGAGGAGGAGGAGGAGGACAAGGAGGAGGACAAGGAGGAGGAGTTGGATGAGGAGGAGGAGGAGGAAGAGGAGGACGACGAGGAGGAGGAGGAGGAGGAGGAGGCGAAGGCGGAGACGGAGGCGGAGGAAGAGGAGGAGGAGGAGGAGGAGGAGGAGACGTCATAATCTTGTCATGACGTCAACCCCCAAAGGTCTCGACCCATTTCCCGGGACCGGTTCTTCATCCCGAACCGTTCTTGTCGACGGCCCCGAGGCCCACCGAGGGCCTCGAGAGGCCGACAACAGCGCAAAAACTTCCCGTCGCGGTTGTGTTCATAACTCGAGGGGGTCAGGGCTCGTCGCCAAACAAGTGCGGCGGGATGCTTGCCGAGGTCTTCGGCCTCCAGGAGCCCTCACTGTGAAGAGGCCACCGGGGGCCTGCGCTCGGAAAAGGCCACGCAACGCTGGATTTCCTCGCGGCTCGGCGGGCGCACGCCGCGCCGGCGTCGCGACGTGGATGTTTGACCACCTGTCAGACTCTGACCACCCCAACCCAACCCGAAGATCCAAATCCGCCGACCCCAGAGGCGTGTGCGGAATTTTTTGCACATGCCACAAGATTCCACCCTGCAAAAATCGCCCCGGGCACTTCCCACCCTGTCTCCACCACGCTCCCACCTCGCTCCCACCGCACCTGACACCGCCAGCCTCCTCGAGCCTTTGGAACTGAATTCTTCGTGTAATTTCTGTCCTGAAACCGACCGATACCCCCCACCGCGCTCAGATCCGACAGTTTCTGGCCTGAAACCTACCGGTACCCTCCACCGCGCCCCGGCACCCCCAGGGATCTGGAACGTGTTTTTTGGGACCACCACCCGACAATTTCTGGCCTGAAACCTACCGATACCGCCCACCGCGCCCTGGCAGCCCCCGGCCTCTGGAACTCTCCTTTTGTGACCCCCCACCCCACAATTTCTCGCCCGAAACCTACCGATACCCCCCATCGCGCCCCGGCACCCCCAACGCTGCGGATCTCTGTTATTAGGACCCCCCCGCCCGACAATTTCTGGCCTGAGACCTACCGGTACTCCCCCACCCCCCAACGCGCCCGGGCGACCCCAGGCCTCTGGAACTCTGTTCTTGGGACCCTCCACCCGACATTTTCTCGCCTGAAACTTACCGATGACCCCCGCCGCGCCCCAGCACCCCCAGGCCTCTGCTGGAACTCTGTTTTTGGGGCCCCCCACCCGACAGTGCGTGGCCTGAAACTTACCCATGCCCCCCACCGCGCCCCGGCACCCCCAAGCCTCTGGATCTCTGTTCTCAGGACCCCCCACACACCCGACAATTTCTGGCCTGAAACCGACCGATACTCCCCACCGCGCCCCGCGCCCCGGCACTCCCAGGCCTCTGAAACCCGGGGTTCTTGGGAACCCCCACCCGACAATTAATTTCTGGCCTGACACCTACCGATGCCATCCACCGCGCCCCGGCACCCCCAGGCTTGTAGAACTCTGTTCTTAGGACCCCCCCACCCGACAATTTCTGGCCCGACACCTACCAATGCATCCCACCGCGCCCCAGCACCCCCAGGCCCCTGGAACTCTGTTCTTGGGACCCCCCACCCGACAATTTCTGGCCTGAAACCTACCTAGACCCCCCACCGCGTCCCAGTACCCCCACGCCCTTGGAACTCTGTTCTCGGGACCCCCCACTCCACAACTTCTGTCCTGAAACTTACCGATACCCCCCACTGCGCCCAGGCACCCCCAGGCCTCACTCTGTTCTTGGGACCCCCCCCCGATAATTTCGGTCCTGAAACCGACAGATACCCCCCACCGCGCCCTGGCACCCCCAAGCCTCTGGAACCCTGTTCTTGGGACCCCCCCACCCGACAATGTATGGCCTGAGACCTACCGATATAGCCGACCGCGCCGCGGCACTTACCTCGGATGACGCTTATTTGTAAACGGCACTACTCTCCGCTCGGCGGTTTCCTTCCTCTTCCGCTCCTCCTCACCGACGCACGCGTTGCACATTTGCTTGCCGTTCGACTTTTTCGCCGTGCGGTTGGAGAGCCAGCTGCTGAAGTCCACCTTCTGGAACACGTTTTTTCACGCTATGCATGTCCAGCAGCCTCGCTGCAGCTTCCCTGCATCGACGCAGCGCTTGCACTTCCGGTTCCGATCGGCCACGCGTGCCCACATGCGATCCGAATAACACTCTCGCCGCTGAGCAACCTCGTGTACCACACATACTTTCGCGACCTTCCTCACCCCCATGCCCCGCTGTGCGGCGGCAGCTTCGACACACTTGACACAAGCAAACGAAACATCTGACGCGTGGGCCAGCATGCAAACTGAAAACTCGCTTCTACTCTTGGAGACTCCACATGTGGAACACACCCGCATCTTGGCCTCTTCGGCGCGCGCCCTCTCTTCCTTCCTCTCTGTCTTCCTGAGCGTCGTGCGTAGCTCTGTTCTTGGGACCCCCCCACCCGACAATTTCTGGCTTGAAACCTACCCGTACCCCCCACCGCGCCCCGGCATCCCCAGGCCTCTATAAGTCTGTTTTTGGGACCCTCCACCCGACAAGTTTTCGCCCGAAACCTACCGATACCCACCACGGCGCCCCGGCACCCCCAGGCCTCTGGAGCTTTGTTCTCGGGCCCCCCCTTACCCGACAATTTCTCGCCCGAAACCTACCGATACCCCCCACCGCGCCCCGACGCCCCCAGCCCTCTGGAGCTCTGTTCTTGGGACCCCCCCCCGACAATTTCTGGCCTACCGACCGATACCCCCTCCACCCCTCCTCCCCCCCCCTCCCACCACCCTCTCCCACCCCCACCCCCACATACACACACACACACACACCACCCCACCTCGCCCCAGCACCCCCAGGCCTCTAGAAGTCTGTTCTTGGGACCCCCCACCCGACAAGTTCTCGCCCAAAACCTACCGGCGACACGGCGATACCTGCCTACCAGGATCGAGGTTACACGGCGACAAGACGACGTAGTATCTCCAATGAACGGTTGAAAGTCTTGTGGGGCTCTTGCGTCTTCGGCTTCCCGACGTTGGCGCTCCAGAATGAAAACAATCCTTCGACACCGCCACACTACGGCCCGAGAGGCCCCCAAGCAGCGCCAAGGACCCCCCCATGGACCAAAAGCATCACCATCACCAGCAGGAGCACCACAGGCAGCAGCACCAGCAGCCACACCCGCTAGCGCAATAGAAGCAACATAATCAGCACAACCAGCAGCAGCAGCGCGAGCACTAGCACTTGAACATTTCGAAACGCACGCCAGAGCGAGAAAGAAATCAGTGCACAAGCTAAGATCAAAGATGTCGATCGAAAAGCGACTCTAATCTGCGCAACACTGGCGTCGGATCGTAGCTGGAGCAACCTGCGCCAGAGACGCTGACCACAGGGAACACCATGGCGCATCATGCACGAAGCGAAGCTATAGTGCCCACCCAGTTTTGACGCTTCCGAAATGGCTGTGCGACCGCGAGATTCCAGGCGTCCATGAATAACCGACTCGCCTGGCAATCGTTTCTGGATGGGCTCGTGGGGATACGCGGCACGAGGAGGATTGCCTCACACCAACGGTTTGTGATACCAAAAACGCGCTTGCCAGACCTCCTGGGGTCCGCGGCAGAGGCGGCAGCCTTTGGATTCAGGGTTGGGGGGGTATGGGTTCCATCTGCGCTCTCTCAGTGTTCCCCGACGCCCCCCCACCCCACGGGGCATGGAGATCGGGGCCTTCGGGTTGGGTTGGGGTGGGTTGGTGGCTGGTGAGCTGACGTCGCGATGTGGACTTTGGCGCCGCGTGGATCGTCCAACCGTGGACGCTCGCGCAGCTTCCCGACAGCGCAGATCGCTCCATCCCGGCCGGTCCCGGGCCACCAGCGGCGCTCGACCCTGGACGCCGGTCCAATCCCAGCCATCTTGGACCCGTCTCTCGCCCGATGGGCTATTCAGTTGCCCTCCTTTTCCTCCACCAAGCCTCCCAAATTCTCCACGCGTCCCGGGGCGTTCAGTTGAATCAACTCGGGGAAAGTTCGAAACACCCCCGTCGGCCGTGCGGGGTCCCCGAAGGCTTCGGAATCCAGGGGAGCGTGGAGTTTCCAGGAAATCCACGCGAAGACACGGGAGGATCGGGCGACGTACCGGAGGCGACGACGACAAGCCCAGGGAAGAGCAGTGCATGTAGCCAGGGGCGCGTCTTCGGCGATGCTCTGGGGCGGATACGTGTAATGCCCGTCCCTGGGCTATTCGCCCCACCTCCGAACGTCGAGGCGACATCTGAGGATGCCTGGCGTCGCTGGAGCCACCGGGGTTATAAAAGGTCGCAGGGCCCCTCGGGCCGTCGGGGAAGACTTCGGGGCGCGAGCGAGGCTTTTTGGGGAGTCCTGGGAGCCCTGGGGGCCTGGAAGGCTTGGGATGCGAGCGGCGCTCCGGGGAAGCCATCGGCGGTGGACAAACCTCCCTTTAGCAAACCTCCCCTTAGTGAAAACGGCCTAGGACCGAAACCGACGAACCTGGACCCGCAAAAATGACGGCCGCGACGCCCTCTCGCGAACCGAAAACGGCCAATTCCTTAATCAACGTGTCGGGGTAGGAGGTCTGTCCACCCCCGACAAAAGGTACCGTCACCACTGCTCCCCGAACGTCTCCTGTAGGGTGCTGGACCTGACCTGAACTTCTCGAGGCGAATCCAGCGGTGGCGGGCCTCCCAGGCGGCCCAGAGAGGGGAAAACGAGGCAAGGGCAGCGGTGTCGTTAGGAGGCAACTACTGGGAGGTTTTCGTCGGAAAAAATAAGGAGGATTAAGCCCCATTTGAAAGCTGTTACGCCAGAATGGGCCTCGGACTAAGCGGGATTAAGCCGGATTAAGCGGGATTAAGCCAAATCAAGCGGGATTAAGCCGGATTAAGCCGGATTTCGGACCAGGGCTACATCAGAATTTGACCTCCCAGGAGTTGCATCCGAGGTGTCGGTACCGTTTCCTCCTCCGAGCTTGGAGGTGCGGGAGGCTTGGGACGCGGGCGAGCCTTGTGGGTTCAGGCTTACCTGCAAGTCCGATCCGGGTCGCAAACTGCATCCGAGGGTCAGGGTGGTCCTCCAAAATCATGAGAGCAAAGATCAAGCGAACAGTAAACGAATCGTCAAATAACAAATTACCCCAGTGCGACCCTACCTAGAAGTTGGAGCCCCTAGGAAAGCAGCATTAGTTACTACGCTATGCTATGCTATGCCATGCTATGATATGCTGCGCTATGATATGCTATGTTATGTTATGCTATACTATGCTATGCTGCGCTATGCAATGCGATGCTGGGCTATGCTATGATATGATGTGCTGCGCTATGCTATGCTACGCTATGCTATGCTATGCTGTGCTCTGCTATGCTAAAGCTCAGCGAAGCTAAGATGAAGGTAAGCTAAGCTAAGATAAACCTGAGCTAATAAGAAGTTAAGCTAAGCTATGCTAAGATGAAATAAGCTAAGCTAAGATGAGATAAGCAACGCTAAGCTAAGGGGACATAACTGGGGGAACCGCGGGGCGGATGCCGGGGGAACCGCCCGGGGCGGTTTACACTGCCCGGCCCTTTAAGCACACAGAGTAAGAACCCTTCTAGGCAGAGCCTAGGTAGGGAACAAGGGTGAGGATTGACAAAGTCACAACCAAAGCCAACAGTATGCCGTTCCCTCTTCTTCCTCTCTCCTCCTCCTCCTCCTCCTCCTCCTCCTCCTCCTCCTCCTCCTCCTCCTCCTCATCATCATCATCATCATCATCATCATCATCATCATCATCATCATCATCATCATCATCATCCACCTCCTCCTCCTCCTTCTCCTCTTCCTCCTCCTCCTCCTCCAACTCATCCACCATTCTCCCTGGTAAAAAACTTCCACTGTCGCACCCCCAGACGTACTAGCAGGGCGGGCCCAGCAGTTCACCAGACCCTTCTTCACATCCTACAATCCTGAAACTTGGAACTTGCGAGCAGTTTTGCGGATGGAGCTCGAGTCGTGTTCAAACTGGGACTCTCGCCGTAGCCCCTCGCATACTCGTCTGTAAAAGTTGCCGTGGTTTCAAAAATGTGAGGGTGGGCCCTTTGCAAAATATGGCTCTCGCCTCAGCGCCGCGCACATGCATCGTGAAAGTCTGCAACAGCGTCAAGCATTGTGGACACGGCATGTTCAAAATATGGCTCTCTCTCTCTCTCCTCAGCGCTGCGCACGCTCGTCCTAAAAGTTTGCAACAGATTCACAAATGGCGGGCGGCTCCTTTCAAAATGTGGCTCTGGCCGTAGCGCCGCGCACATCGGTCTGGAAGTATGCAACAACCTTCAAGGATGGAGGACGGGTGGTTTTCAAGATGTGGCCTTCGCGTCAGCTCCGCACACATTCTCCTCAAATGTCTGCAACTGATTTAAAGATGGAGGGCGGCTCATTCGCAAAATATGGCTCTCGCCTCAGCGCCGCGCAAATTTGTCGTGAAAATGTGCCACAACTCCAGAGATGGAGTACGGGCCGTTTTCAAAATGTGGCTCTCGCCTTAGCGCCGCGCACATCCGTCTTAAAGTCTGCAACAGATTCAAAGATGGAGGTCGGTTCGTTTTCAAAAAGTGGTTCTCGCCTCAGCACCGCGCACATTCGTATCAAAAGTTCGCAACCGCTGCAAGGGCTCGTACGGCTGAAGCCCCAGGAATGGTGTTCTGGCGCGGCTTAAGCTTGTCAAGAAACAACCGTCGCGTCGATTCGCAGTGTTGAAGGCCCAAGAATGGTGTGGTGATGCGATTTAAGATTGCCCAGACACAACAGTCACGTTGAGTCGCGGCGGTGACGTCCCAGGGTCTGCGCTTTGGCACGGTTGGAGTTATCAAACGCTTGTCTTCCAACGAGGCACTTCCCGCAATGACAAAAAACCTGCAGGAACCGACGAAAAGAGGACATGGAGGGGGGCTATCGCAACATTGCTGCTGCGTCTTAGGTTTACACTGGTCTAATTCCCCTTCTTCCTCCTCCTCCTCCTCCTCCTCCTCCTCCTCATCATCATCATCATCATCACCATCACCATCATCATCATCATCATCATCATCATCATCATCATCATCATCATCATCATCATCATCATCATCATCATCATCATCATCTTCATCATCTTCCGCCGCCTCCTCCTCCGCCTCCGCCTCCGCCTCCGCCTCCGCCTGCTCCTCCTCCTCCACCTCCGCCTCCTCCTCCTCCTCCTTCTCCTCCTCCTCCTCCTCCTCCTCCTGCTCCTCCTCCTAGGGCGTCGGCGGAAGAGAAGAGTCCTCGAAGATCCACATCAGCTGCTGGCCAGTCCTCCTGCTCCTCCTCCTCCTCCTCCTCCTCCTCCTCCTCCTCCTCCTCGTTCCTCTTTCCTGCCCCCTCCCTCCTTCCCCTTCCCTCCTTGCTCCTCCCTCCTCCCCCTCGAGGAGCGGAAGCTCGGCGAGCCCCGCCTTCG